TTCGCACGGGCAGCCCGTGCGTTGGCCATTTATTTGCATTGCATAGCTGCAAAAAACGCATAAAAATGTAACAAATGGAAATGTTCTGGCTTCAATAACGAGAAACAGCACAACTGACGAATTGTTAGCTGCTGAAAACATCGAAATAATGCAATATGTCATGACCAAAAAGTAAGAAAGCTGTTGACCAGCATAAGTTGTGCAGAATGTGTCGGGGCTGAGCCTGAGATTTTCAGGAAACAGCACCGTACAAGCTCACCCGTATGAGGATAGAGAAATGCACAATGGTGAATGTATCGACATTTGTATTTACACTTTTCACCATTTATCAGTTCGTACTTTGTTACTGTTTTCCGTTATCACTCGTCGTCTTTTTTTATATCAAATTGTTGACCCGTTTACGGCAGCATGCACGTCAGTTCAAGGTATGCGTTTCTCATCGCTGTATTGCCTTTGGATCACTAATATTGTCAGTTACATAGCCTCACACTAGCTTGTAAATACATTTAACTACTGGTCCGTCGCAATGCTGCACATAGACGGTATTGTCTTGAAAAAAGTTGACAGCTACATCTCTGTTGACTAAAATGTCAATAAGCGCCAAAACCTTAAGCCAAAGATTGCACATAGGCGGGCTTTAGGTTGCGGAGAATTTCACAGCACCGCCGATGTTCTCAAAATGACGAACCGGAAGAACCGTGCTTACCTCTTCGATACGGATGCAAAGCGTGACGCGAAAACAGTCCACTCGTATGGACAGATTTCGCAGTGGAGTATGCATCCAGGATTGTAGGGCTTGATATAACTAGCTACTCTCGGTCTCTGAGAGTATCCCAGTGACATCACTAACATGTGCTTCCCGTACTGATATAGCCTGGGCAGAAATGGTTTTCTTGTTATTAGTTGTAGTATTAATAGTACAACTTACTGCGCTTATAGCTTAATAGTACAACTTACTGCACTTATAGCTTTACCTCTGTGCTCAAAATGGAGTCACAGGAGTTTTTCGAGTAGCGAGGAGCGGGACAGGGGAGGAGATTAGACAGTATAGTTGACTGCGTCAGCTGTTTGACACTAGTTGTCGTAGCAAGAAAGGGAAATAATGAATGCGAGGTTAATTTTTCATTTTTTGATTGTGGTGTTTGATTTTTTATGGGCTTTTTATTTTTAAATTTCCGTTGACTTTTTTTGGTTTGTAAATATGGAAAATTATTTATAAAAAGTTTTGATTAATGGTTTTCTGCATTTTGTAGCAAGTACTGAAATAGAAAACTTATGCACATTGTTTCAGGACTCACATATCCCACTCATTCGAATATCGCTATACACATTAGCAGTGGCCTGTTCTTATTTCCTGTGCTGGACACCGTTCTGGCTAGCAACAGTGTATGCGGTTTATCTGGAATATGCTGGTGACAAGGGCGGTGTGGTGCCACCTATTTTTGTTTACTCAATGTACTTCATACATGCGTTGCCGTTCACTAATTCGGCTGTCAATTGGATTTTATATGGTGCAGGTTTTTTCTCATATTCGAAAATTTTCATTTGAGGCAAAAGCGAAAGAACGCATGAGAGGAGAGAGCTCACAATCAAAAATACTATTAAAATTTTTTGAATTTGGACATTTTCAGAAATTTTATTTTCTAGCGACAGAAAATCTACAATCATTAACAGTCATGAAATACAAACCCAGGCTGGGACGCACCAGGCTCTCCGGAGCGATCATGCACTTTTGCACTAAACTCACAGACCGCTATTAGCAGGAATGACCCTACGCTGCAGCCTAACACTTGGGCTCACAATGGCCGTGCTTTGATCCTTTCCGGCATGCAGGAGGAAGGGCGTCAGTTGCGATGAAGGTGGTTCATTATAGAGCCACACGGACATCCAGGTGCATGATTACCGGCTTTTTGCATGA